TACACGTATGATATCCTCAGCGTGGAGATGATGGTCTTGTCTCCCTAAGGACTATGTGGTTGTTATTGCTACTGATATGTCATAGACACATCTGTGATGGGTAGATTGGTGAGGGCAATGCCAATTGATTTTTCCCTTCTGTTGTTTCCTCCACCACTTGCTGCAGCTCCAATCTACAGCTATGTCTTTTCAGACTTTGCCACTTCAATTAGTAATGGTACCAAGCCATCCTTGTCGATAGCGACAGTCATTGAAGATCCCCATCCAGAGCACGTTCTGTTCCGTTTCTCTCAGTGCTTCTTCTAATTGGTTTCAACATGGAAGAATACTGATTCATTACCTGAGAGGGGTAATAATAAGTGTTGATCAGTAAGAAGGTTCCCTGCCTATGTTTGACTTGAAGCTTCAACATTGGTATATGTGACACGTGTGCGAGAAGTTGAAGCCACAAGGTTAGCTCAAAATTGAGGCCACAACTTATTTCATTCAATATTGTCACTTGCTGCTTTGATTATTTGATTTATTGTTGTCACATGTACCTAAGTACAGTGAAAAGTTCTGTTTTGTATGCAGTACAGGCAGATCATAACATGCAAGCACATACAGATCATAGGGTGATTGAACATAGCAAGGCATATTTGAGGTTTAAAGGTGCAAAACAATTGTAAGAGATATGAGAATAAGATCTGCTGTAGAGAGCTCGCAAAGAGTCGCCCTGTGTTGGCGCCATCTTGAATCCAATTGCTTCAGAAGCAACCTGCTGTTCACCACACAACCAGGTTGTGTGTAAGTAGTTATCCTTAGTAATTTTTATTGAGTAACTCCTTCAAGAGGCGAGAAGGGAGTGGGAGGTGAGGAAAAAGTGCTCAATAGGAATCAGTCATGCCACTGTTGATTCCATGTGAAAAATGAATATCTGAATTTAAAAACATACCTAGCGATAACTTTCAAGCCATAGCAAATGCTGAAAAACTTAATAGGAGATAATTTGCCATAAAGGATTCTTAAACATATTAACCCCCTTATTATCATTTGCATAATGTCAGTTTTAGATAGCCACCCAATATGCCTGAATATCTTCTGAGTCCAGTTTGTAAAAAATGAGGATCAAATTTAAACTAAAGGGCTGAAATTAAGGCTTCAGTATTCAGTTTTCGGATAACAGAAGAAATCTTAAACTAGCTGCTTGAAGTGAGATATGTGCGCTCATTTCTGACAGAAGTGCGTAAAAGGTATAATTATAGGGGATTCTGTGTTCATGAACCTGATGATTGCCAGCAGGTTTAAAACAAGCATATCATGATATGATTCAAAATGTTCAATCGATTTGATTCTCCATTACTTCAATTTTCAAGTTCTCTGCTGCAGTATATGTCTTTTCTTAAAATTGTACATAGCACAGATGTTCCATAGGTTGAAGGACACTCCCATCAGTGCCATTTGAAAGAATCATTAACTTGCAGGTTAATGGAGGTTTATTTCTTATGAATGGGTGCTTTTCCATACTAGTTTAAAGTTTCATAGACCAGTTGATTCCCAACACGGTGGCTTAACAGGTCATCGCCTTCACCTTAAACACAACTGAGTGCATGAGGAGAGACCATTAAAAGACACGACAAGCCGATAGGAGCAATTGGATGATGAGGGAAGATGGGCTGCCTACAATTCTCCTTTCCATAATGGCAAAATTGTGTCTTTTATACAAATAAAAACATTAAGTTATATTTCTTACTCTCATGTAAATTCTTGCACTCTCCTTTGTGCGCCAATTTCTCTTGCAAGAATGAAGGCATCAGTGAGTATCTTGCAATATATTTGGGTGAAATGACTGTTGTAATTCAATCGCTGCCAGTGTTCTAAGCTATGAGAAATAGATGTTTGACTTGCAGCTAAGTACATGAGGCTTAGATAAAGCCTATGATTCATTAATTTAAAATCCTGATTGATATTGTTGGTTACTGAGAAAGGGGGTGCAGAACTTACCAGTGACTGAGGTTAGTACTGCAGGTGATTGAATATAGGATTTGAAGATGCCCTGTTAAGTTTGACAACTCATGTGAGATCCTGCATTGAATCCAAGTCTATACAGCTACATGCCTGATATTGACTTCTGATGCAATCTATTGTCACAGTTCCCTGAATATATGCCTGGAGGATTTTCTCCAGCACTGCAACAGATGCAAGAAATCCATCCTTCTTTCCACCTGTTCCACAAAGACTCCAGTGAGGCATCAAACAGTCTCTGTACATGATCTCTTCCCCGATCATCCATTATTCATTTCATTTAAAATAAAATCATTCATGGGATGTACACATCATTACCTAGCTAGTATTCAGTACCCGTTCCTAATTACACTGGTATGGAGCTGCCTGTTGAACTGCTGCAATCCAAGTGGACTAAGGACACCCAAAATGCTGTTAGCAAGGAGAGGCAAGATTTTGACTGAGAGATAATGAAAGAATGACAATATAATTCCAAGTCAGGATTGTGTATGGTTTGGAGGGGAACTTGCAGATGATGTTGTTTCTATGCATCTTTCGCTTGTCCATCTAGGTAGTAGGGGTTGGGGTTTGGAATGTGCAGTGAAGAAGCCTTGAAGAGCTACTGCAGTATATAATACTGTTGGTACACATAACTGTCATTGTGTGTTGGTGGTGAAGGGAACTAATGTTGAAAGTGTTGGATGACACACCAGTCAGTGGGCTGTTTTTCTGTGGATGGTCAGGCTGTGTTGATGGAGTTGCACTATTGAGGCAAATGAGGAGTATTCCATTACACTCCTGACTTATGCATTGTAAAATAACTCTTCAAAGGCCAGCATCCCATCACCAATCATCCCTTATTTATAGGTACATAGCCTTTGACAATAACACTGCCTCTCACTGAATTAGGCATTCAGGGGCTCAATATCCATGACATTCATCCTTTTATGTCAGCTAGGTCTCCCTGATTGTGGCTGTTAATCTGGTCCAATCAGGGAACTCATTCTATGATGCCCAGCTGGCTGACCTCATTACAATCACTACACATTGTGGACAGGAATTTGAGAAGCAGGTGGTGAGTTTGAAGAAGTCTGATTTCCTCGCCTTAGATCTGCTCTTGGAGCCACTATGTTTACATGAATGGTCTGGTTCCATTTTTGATCGGTCAGAACTCACACTATTTTGATAATGGGAGATTCAGTGATGGTGATGCCATTGCACATCAAAGGGTAACGGTCAGATTCTTAACGGTCATAACTTAGCACTCTTGTGCTGTAAATGTTACCTGCCATTTAGTTCATATTGTCCTGGTCTTTTGCTACATTTGAACACTTTCTGCTTTACTATCTTGGGATCTACACGTTGCGCAATCATAAGTGAATCATCACCCCCTTGTGACTTTATGATTAGGGAGAACCTCATTGATGATGCAATCTATGATGGATGGGCTAGGGTACTATCCTAAGAAATGTAGAAACATAGAAAATAGGAGCAGGAAGGGGAAAATAGGAAGCCCTTCAAATTTGCTCTGCCATTCACTATAATCATGGCTGATTATCCAACTGAATAGTAGCCTACTGCTGCTTTCTCCTCAATCCCTTTGATCTCTTTGCCCCTAAGAACTATATCTAACTCCTCCTCGAAAGCATTCAATGTTTTGACCTCAATCGTTTTCTGTGGCAAAGAATTCCACTGGGTCATCACTCTCTGGGTGAAGAATTTTTTCCTTATCTCAGTCCTAAATGGCCTCCCCTGTATCGTTAGTCTGTGACCCCTAGTATGGACTCCCTGATCAGTAGAAGCATTCTTCCTGCATTTATCCTGTCTAATCCTGTTGGAATTTTGTAGATTTATATGAGATCCCCCTTCCCCATTCTTCTAAACACCAGTGAATATAGTCCTAACCGTTTTAGTCTCTTTTCATAACTTCTGCAGTTATGTCCTTGGGCTGAGATTATTGACCTCTGACAGTGACAACCAGCTTCCTTTGTGATAGGTTTGAGTCTATAAAGTGGAGTGGTTTTCCCTGATTCCCATTGACTCCAGTTTTGCTGGGACTTCTTGATGCCATACTTAATCAATTCCTGCCTTAATACCACTCTCACCTCACCTCTGAATCCAGTTCTATTGTCCATATTTGTATCAAGGCTGTAATGAGGTCAGAAGGCACCTGTTGAAACCCAAACAATGTTGCTGAGCAGGTTATTTCTTTGTACATGCCACTAGATAGCACTGTCAATGATCACTTCCATCACTTTTTTTGTTGATTGAAAACAGAAGAGTGATAGCATGGTAATTAATTTGGTTGGATTTGCACTGCTTTTTGTGCACAGGACATACTTGGACAATTGTCCATATTGTTGCATCAATGTCAATTTTGTAGCTGAACCAGAACACCTTTTCTAGGGGTGAGGTTAATTCTGGTGCACAAATCTTCAGTACTATTGTTGGAACATTGTCAGGGTCCTAACCCTTTGCAATATCCAGTGTCTTCAGCAGTTTCTTGATATCACGTGGAGTGAAGCAAATTAGTTGAAGAGTAACATCTGAGATGCTGGGATCCTCGGCAGGAAGTCGAGATAGACCATACACTGGCACGTCTGACTGAAGATACTGCAAATACTTCAGCTTTGCGTTTTGCACCAATGTGCTGGCCCCCTGTTGAGAATGGGGATAATTGTTGAGCCTCCACCTACGACTCCTGTTAGTTGTTGAATTGCCCACTTCCATTCACAACTGGATGTAGCAGGATTCATAGAGCTTAAATCTGATCCATATTACCCCACTTTTTTAAGAGTAACCATGGATGGGTAATAAATGCTGACCCAATGAGTGAAGCCCATGTTCCACAAGGTTTTTGAAATTATTTTTAACAAACTGAAATAAAGTGTTCATCAAATTATTGATTTAAGGTATTCTAATTTAAATTATTGGAAATAAAATATCTGTAAGCACATTGGCAACTGTCTCTACCGATTGATTTATGGAGAAAAATTAATTTTGTTTTCTTTCAACAGATTATATATTGATGGTCCATTTGGGAGTCCATCAGAGGAAGTCTTCAACTACGAGGTTAGCCTTTGTGTGGCCGGTGGTATTGGAGTGACCCCTTTTGCTTCAGTTCTAAACACACTATTGTACGTGCATTTTCTTTTTGACAGTTTGTTCATGGTTAATTCGTGTTATAAGTAAGGAAGAGTTCTGCTTGTTCTTGCTGCCAAGGGAGGAAATTGGAATAATAGTGCACAATCATCCAAATTTATTTGAGAGAAAACATACTTATTCAGCTCAATTCAATTTTTCAAGGGCAAAATATTCTCTATCTTGTCTGAAGGATGTATGGTATACCAATTTTCCTCCTTTATTCTCAATTATGAAAGTTTGCAAATATTTATACGCAACCTGGCAATGCATCAGTTTACAATCAAGACCTTTCAATTATTTTTAAAATCTCCTTCCAATAGTTAACTTAGTGTACTTTTATCTGTGAAGCCTAGCAGGAATTTGTGTCAAACGATTGGAATGGAAGCATCTTCTCTGCTAGATTTAGGATGTCTGATGTAAAAACAGTAAGTCAAGCCAATTAATAGTATTTGCAACTCTATTGCACAATAATTAACATTAAACTAATTGCCTTACCAGTGGCTGGAATGGGAAGTAGAAATATGCTAGTGAGTATTTTTCTAAGCTTTAAGCTGAGGTCTGTTGGTGGGATGAGAGTAAAATCAGTTCATTCCAATCATTTTTAGTACCTGATTCAGCACTGTTTTATAATAAAGCAAGTGAAATTATTCCATTGCAGAAAAACATGCTATAATGGGTTTTGATCACAAAGACATATTTTTAAAACTCCTTTCAAACTAAACTCATCAAAGCAAGTCTTCCTTTTCAAAATAGATTCATTTTTTCTTCCAAGTTTCCACTGACTGAAAGGATGGTAACCAATGGGCACACATTTAAACTAATCCCCTAAAAGGCTCAGGAGGCAAGTGAATATAGACTTTTTTATGGAAATGAATTTTTATCACACAGAATGTACTGCCTGCAACAGCAGTGGAAACACATTGAATAGTGCCTTTTGAAAGAGAACTAGATATATATTTCAAAAGGAAGTAATTGCAAGTCAGTGGGGAAAGAGCAGCAGTGTGCATTTAGTTGGTTGACATTGGTACATTAATATGTTGCATTGAAAAATCAATTAAATTTAAAATTGTTTGCTTGTGTGTGTTGTTGGATCACTAACCAAGCAACAATTAAGTGCTGGTTTGAAATGCCACTCTGTTTAGTCACTGTTCTCCCATTTAGGAAATAACAAAAGCAGCATCATGATTATTTTTGCACCTCAGCTAACATCAGGCTGAAAAGCAGTGAAAGTGGGCATCTATGAATAGTTCTTTTATTCGCCCAAAATTCCACATGACCATTAGACCAAGAGGGAAAAAAAATGTGTGAACTGATTCGAGAGCAATGCAAACATCCATCGATAAATTGAAATGTACAAGTTGCTCTCACATGAAGGAACTGTTTTACATTTTAGTGATGACATGTAAATTGATGATTAAAAATACACTACTGAAGTAATCCGGGAGATGTTTGTGAGGGCTAATACCCTAGAATGTTTGATCCCTACTAAACAACACATCAAAAAAAGTGTGGAAAAGAGATTTCAGAGTCTCCCAAACTCCAAATAGCTCTCATTTATAGCCCCAAGTAGCTGGTTGTGTACACCAGGAAACGTATCTCGGGAATAAAAACCAAAAGAACTTCAGATGCTGTGAATCAGGAACAAAAACAAAGTTGCTGGAACAGCTCAGCAGGTCTGGCAGCATCTGTGAAGGAAAAAACAGAGTTAATGTTTCGGGTCCGGTGACCCTTCCTCAGAACTGATGCTGCCAAATCCCCTGAGCTTTTCCAGCAACTTTGTTTTTGCAACATATCTCAGGACCTGACTCAACAGTCAGGTAAAACTGAGTGAGGGGTCAGTCAGCTTTGACTGATATGAGGACATGACTTCTTCTAATATATATTCAATCTGGGAATGACGGAAGTGATGAAAGATCCTAAAAATTTTAATGGAGACCAACAAAGTGTTTCTTTTTCATTTGTTCTGGATGTGGCCAGTATTTGTTGCCTGTTGTTCATGAGTGATTTGCCAGAGCCATTTTGGAAGAATTAAAAATCAGTCACTCTCGTGCAGATTAGTAAGCCAGACATGACAGGGATAGCAGATTTACTTTCGTAAAGGATATTCGTGAACGAGATGAGTTTTTACAACAATGGTTGGACAGTTATCATTAGGCTAGCTTTTAATTCCAGACACTTAAAGAATTCAGATTTCACCATCTGCCAGGTGGGATTTGAACCCAGCCTCCAGAACATTATTAGTAGTAATAACAATATTAAAAACATAAAATGCTGGAGATACTAAGCAGATCTGTGCGGAGAGAAACTGATTGTATTTCGATTTTCATATGACTTTTTAGGACTTCTATTGATGTGACCACAACACCACTACCTCCCCATAGCCAAGGGCACAGTCATGAGGCTCTCTAAGGCAAAGTGACTTTTTGCCTGTGGATCTCTCAGTATAATCCTCATTGTTAGTTGTGGCAAATGATAGTTGAAGAACAGGAAATACAAAAAAGTTCAGGCCCCCTGCCACTGATTTTGTTGTCAATAATGACAGGAAAGAAAAAAAAAATCCTTGCTGAACAAAGTAAACAACAAATTTATTAAAAAGTTCACCTGAAACCCAAAAGGGAGGACAGCTCTGAGCCTATTGTGTTCAATTGAAGAGATAGCTTCTTGAGAATAAGAACATGGAATATAAAGTCTTTATAGCAGGATGAAAGCTTGACAATTGCTAAGGTTATGAATAGATACTGTATAAACTTATTTAGATTTGCAGAGATCATTATTTTAATCAACTTGTTCGAACACATTACGACACATGTCCGGGGTAGGTGGGACATGAACCCAGACATCTTGGCCCAGAAGAACAGGCATTACCACTGTGTCACAAAAGGCCTCATTGCATAGTAAAGGTTAGAATCTGGTCTGATCTTGAACTTTGTTGAAAGGTGACATGAAGTCAAAGCTTTTCATCTGCATTCATCTGGACTAGGATTCAAGAACCCAGACTTGGAAAATGAACATCAGATTTATACATCATGAAAAGAGTGTGCTGTTAATTGGGACGGCATTGGCATGGAGTTGCAGCAGGAACAGTCAAGTGTCAATCATAGTCAGTCAGGCTGTTGCCATAGGAATGCAGCAAAGATTCGAACTATTTGTTTCCAAAGAGGTAAGTGTATGTCCGAATTCATAGAATCCTTATGGTGTAGAATGTGGCTGTTCAGCCCATCAAGTCTGCACAGACTTTCTGAAGAGCATCCCACTCTATCCCCGTAATCCCACATTTACCATGGCTAATCCACCTAGCCTGCCCTTCCCTGGAAACTATGTGATAATTTAGCAAGGCCAATCCACCTAACCTGCATATCTTTGGACTGAGTGAGGAAATTGGAGTTCCTGGGGGAAACCCATGCAGACAGGAGGAGAACATACAGACTTCAAACAGACAGTCACACAAGGCTGGAATTGAACTTGAGTCCTTGGCGCAGTCAGGCAGCAGTGCTAACCATTGTGCTATCCTATTCCTTTCGCCAACATAAAACAGTGTCTTATGTTAACATGTACTTTGCAGTACATGCAACTGCATCACATTGCTATTTGACCATATTATGAAAACACCTGCCTTGCCCATCAAAGCTTGAAGCAGGATTTGCATCTGAAGGTTCTGGCTCAGAGGCAAGGATGCTACCCACTACACCACAAGAATTTTCTCTGTTCTATATTTCAACATGAGAAATAAATGGTAGACTTCAAGGCTATAATTGATTATTGCTGAGCATTGGAAAATGGGACAGAAATATGACTCTCCTCTTGAGCATCGTTAAAAAAATGTAAAAAACATAGCAATAATAAGCCTATTAAAAATTAAAGTTTCAAGGATCTGTTCTTTAGCAGCCAGTTTTTCATACTTGATGTGTTGTGTTGCTTCCATGACAACAGCGACGGTGCCATGTATCTGGTGTTTGCTCTGCTGGATGATATTTTTAAAAGATTGTTGATCTTCATAAGCAAGTAGCACCCACCAGAGTTGCACAGAGAAGGAAGACTGTGACTTCAGTTTGTGTTAGTCAATTGCTGATTGACACCAATGCAGTGATTTTGAAGCTCAAAGCTCCAGCTGACGCCATGTTGTAAAAATGCACAACGGGATAAAGACAAATGTTTAATAGGATCAAAAACTTTTTTCAAGTTCGTTGCTGGGTTTTGCATTTCTACTTGCTGTTGCTGCGATTATAAGTATTTGGTGGTTTCCAGAGTTTGTTAAAGTTGCAGAGGTCTTTGGAGAGTGGCACTTGTGTGAGTGAGTTTGCGTTCCCCTGGTGTACAGTATTACAGGTCAATACAGAAGAAACATTGGTAAGCTGTTAAGAGAGAGAACTGGGATGATGAAATAAGGAAAGGCTGATTATCAGACCATTTCACCCCAGAATATTCAGGAATAATTTCCTGCTGGAACAGTGGATGAGATGTCTTTGCCTGATGAAGAGATTCCGCACTGAAATCTTTCATTTGCTGCAGCCTCACAGCAGCGATGTGAGTATGAACTGGCCATGAACATTTATGTGCCTGGCATCTTCCTGGCCATTGTAGATGATACTTGCAACATCTCCTGGTTAGCCATCTATTGTATGTAAAGACAGCTGAATTAATTCTGTTTTGTCAGAGATTTCGTGGGCTTTCCCATAGTTTTCAGTTTTCACAAAGTGTCTCTGACAGAAACCTAGGTACAGATTGTCTGCATATCCCTTAAACAGAGTGGTAGATGCATGGGAAGTATAAAGAAGAAAGAGAATAAAGGTAGTTTAAACTTTGTTTAGGTAGTTTGATTTTGAAAAGAAATTGCTAAAGCCCAAGGAATGAATTTCACATGGAGCACTGAAACTATTGATTAGAGATTGAACCAAAATAAAGCATGGAAAAGTAGTTTTAAAAATAACTGCATGTTATCATAAACTCTAACAGATGTCACAAAAACTGGTCTTGGAATAATTCAATGTGCATAATTGATTCTAACTAATGTGAAAAAAGAATTAAATTATTTTTCATGGAATTGAACTAATAAGTTAGTTGCTACTTTATTTCTCTTTTATCACATTTGGCATAATCACTTTTTGTCTTTAATTTCCATAATCATACAATTCTTAGAGTTTCCAGGCATTTACACATGTTTCAGTCAGTGTTAAAGTTTATTCACACATATTAACAGTTTATACTTAATGGTCTGATATTCAGATTTGAGATTCATCCACCAAAGTCTCAATGGCACTAACAACAGTCTTTTATAAACTTCTGAGCCCGTAAATAATACATAGTTTTAAGGTAATTGGCAAAAGCCAAAAGAGACTTCAGTTACAGATTCTTCTTTCAATGCATCAGACCATAATGATTTTAATTACACTGTCTAGTGAAATCAGATTCAATAGTAATTTTTAGGAAAAAATAGCTTCATAAAGGAGAATTATAGATTGCTCTGGGCAAAGTGCAAGGGACTGAGGTCAATTTGATAGTTTTATCAAAGAGCTGGTTCAGGCACAATAGAGTGAATGGTCTCGTTTTGTGCCTTTAATATTTTGCAAAAGTAAGGACAAATAGCACTGATTTGCTCAGGTTGTCAGTATTAGATTACCAGGACATGGTATTCTGCAGTTTAAGAAATCCTGATTTACAGAATGGTAGAAAGTGAGAACCTAATGCGGCTTTTAGAAATTTTGTTTCTTTTTTCTTGCAGAAATGATTGGAAACAGTATAAGCTCAGACGACTTTACTTCATTTGGATATGTAGGGAAATTCAGTCTTTTTTCTGGTTTGCAGATTTGCTGTGCATTTTACATGACAAGGTAAGACCAGATAGTGAACCTGAACAATAACATCCTGGTTTGTGTTATGCAGAGTAAAATCTTCCATAATTCTGTCAACATCTTCCAAGAAATATGAGCTGGAATTGTTTTCAGAAATCTCATGTCATGCTAGATTGAGTATTGTATTGTTCCAACTTCAGTAACGAATGGTGTTTTAACAGATTTTTAGCCTTCTATCTTTAATTGTTACAGCAGCATCAAGTTGAAAATGTGAAAATGTTCCTTCGGAATTGCAAAGTGTACTAAAAGTTACTGTTGTTTTGCTTGGATGTAAAACTAAGAAAATGGTTAACACACAAATGAAATAAAAACGAAGAGTCGAATCTTACATTTATTTGGCTGAGTCCAAGTTGCGTCAAAATTTTTGGAGGGCTTTTCACCACTAGACCTTAAGTTTCTTGGCCTATCTTACAAATCTTGCTGAATTAATTATGCACCCTACCCCTATGGTGACTGTCATATCTGATTTCCGCCCCACTTATCACACGGCATTTGCGGAACAAGTCACAACTCAGTGAATATCTTCCAAAACATCCCTTGTGCCACGCAATCTTTGAAAGGCTGCTGTTATCCAGACCAGCATTGGCAATCTGGCATTGCTCCCCACAAACATCATGGCACAGCATTCAAAATGCCATGCTGTCCATGGCAAATAGCCATCATGGCTGGCAGTCCCTTACACATATAACCTCTTCTCTTACCCTAGTCATTGTTGAATCACCAGACTACACACTTTACCTGTCCTTGGCTACATTCCTCTGCACACCAAATAAGTCAATGCTACTCTGTCCCAATATCAATTGGATACCTGCATTTTGGCACTTTCCAGGAGGGAGATATCACATACAGTTATCCAGCAATTCCAAGCACACATGTGAGCTTTTATTTACAGAAATGTCAGTCCAGTTTAGTTTTGGCTAGTTGTAACCCCAATATATTGATAGTAGGAGGTTCAATGACGGCAATGCTATTGAAAGCCAAGGGACAGTGATTAGGTTCTCTCTTGTTGGAGATGGACATTGCTTGGCACTTACATGGCATGAATGCTACTTGCCTGCCCAAGCATGAATATTGTCAGGGTCTTACTGCATTTGGCTGTGGATTGCCACAGTACCTGAGTAGTCACACATGGGGCTGAACATAATGCAAACATCTCCAGTTCTGACCTTATGATGGAGGGAAGGTCTTTGAAGTAGCAGAGTTGTTTGGTCTAGGATATTACACTGAGAAACTCCTGCAGAGCTGTTCTGGAGCTGAGATGACTGACCCCAAATAACTGCAACCACCATACTTTGCCAGGTGTGACTCCAAACAGTGAGAGTTTTTTTTCCCTGATTTCCATTGATCCTGGATCTGTCAGCGCTCATCATACTCTGTCGAATACAGCTTTTGTCAAGGGCAGTCACCTTACCTCACCTCTAGGTCAGGCGCTAAGTGGCCCTGGCAGAGCTTCAATGAGTAGATTATTGCTGAACAAGTGCTGCTTGCTGTCACTGTTGATGATACCTTTCACCACTTTATTAATGATTGACAGTAGACTAATGTAGCGGTTGTTGATTGGTTTAGATTTGACTTGCTGTTTGTGTACAGCACAAACCTGGACAATTTTCTATATAGCTGGGTAGATGCCAGTGTTACAGCTGTACTTGAATAGCTTGGTGAGGAGCATGGTTAGTTCTGGAGCACAAATCTTCAAGACTATTGCCAGAATATTTTAAGCATCCATAGCCTATGTAGTACTCATAATACATAAGTGCACAAAGGGGTCATTCAGCCAATTGAGTCTGCTCTGCAATTCAGTGAGATCATAGCTGATCTGATAATCCTCAATGCTACTTTGCTGCATTTTCCCTGTAACCCTTGATTCCCTTACTGATTAAAAATCTGTCTTAAATATGTTTGTCAACCCAGCCTCGACAACCCTCTGTGATAAAGAATTCCTACCCTGTGAGAGAAGAAATTGCTCTTCATCTTTGTCAAATTGGGTGACCCCTTGCTCATGCCCTCTGGTCCTAGACTCTCCCATAAGGGGAAACAGCCTCTCAGCATTTTCCCTGTACAATCCTGTGAGAATCTTGTATGCTTCAATTCTTCTAAATTCCAATAAGTACAGTTGCAACTTAATCAACCTTTTTCTCATAAGAAAATTCCTGCATACCCAGGATCAGCCTAGTAAACTTTCGTGCCTCCAATGCCAGTATATCTTTCCCTAGGTTAAGGGTCCAAAACTGTTCACAATATACTGTGGTCTAACTAGTGCCTTGTGTAATTTTAGCAAAACCTTGTTACTTTTTCTGACACATTCCCTTTGAAGTAAAAGCTAATATTTCATGACAAAGTGAATAACAAGGGTCTTTTCCCTGGGGTGAGGGAGTTCAAAACCGGGAGGCCTTTATTTATGGTGAGAGGAGAAAGATTTAAAAGGACATGAGGGCGGCTTTCTTTTACAGAGAGTGGTTTATATGTGTAATGAACTGCCAAAGGAAGTGGTGGATGCAGGTACGGTTATAATGTTTAAAAGACATTTGGATAAGTTGATGATTAGGAAAAGTTCAGAGGGATATGAACCAAGTGCAGGCAGGGGGTGCTGGTTTAGTTTGGAATCATAGTTGATGTGGACTGGTTGGACTAAAGGATCTGTTTGACTCTATGACATTTGTCTTCCCTACCACGTGCTGAACTTGGACGCTAGCTTTTTGTGGTTCATGAATGAGGAATCCCAAATCCCTCTGCTCTGTAACTTTCAGCAGTCTTTTATCATTTTGAATAATATTCAGCTCCACTGTTTCTCCTGCCAAAGTGCAGAACCTCATATTTACCCACATTATGTTCCATCTGTCACGTTTTTTTCCAAATCACTTAAACTGCAAATATCCCCCTGCAGACTCTGCCGCATTCTGACCGTAAGACCATAAGAAATAGGAACAGGAGTAAGCTGTTTGGCCCCCTGAGCCTGCTCGGCCATTCAATAGGATCGCAGCTGATCTGAAATTCATAGAATCATGGCATCCCTCCAGTATGGAAGCAGGCCATTTGGCCCATTGAGTCCACATCGTCTCTCCAAAGGCCATCCCACCCAGACCCTGCCCCTGTAACCTTGCATTTCCCATGGCTAATCCACCTATCCCCTATTTAGCATGGCCAATCCACTAGCCTGCACATCTGTGGTACTGTGGGAGGAAACCAGAGTACCCTGAGGAGACCCAGGCAGACACTGGGAAAATGTTCGGACTCCAAACAGACAAACATCCATAACCATCCCAAGGGTGGAATCAAACCAAGGTCCTTTGTGCTGTGAGGCAGCAGTGCCAACAACTGAACCACCTTGCTGCCCATGTCCACGTATCCACTTTCCTGCCCTTTCCCCGTAATGCTTGATTCCCCTATTGATCAAGAATCTATCTATCTTTCTCAGCCTTAGATACATTCAAGAACTCTACCTCCACTGCTCTATTTAATAAGGGGTTCCAAAACTTCTCATCCTGAAAGAATAATTTCCCCGTTATCTCAGTCTTAAATTGGTGCCCCTTTATTTTGAGAGTATGCCCATTGGTCCTAGACTCTCCCATGAGGTGAAACATCCTCTCAGCATTTACTATGCCAAGCCTGTTAAGCATCCTATATGTTTCAATGTCATTATCTGTCATTCTTCTCAACTCCAGTGATTAGAATCCCAAGCTGTTTAGCCTTTGCTCATAAGATTATCCCTCCATATCAGGGATTATCCTAACCCTAACCCTAACCCTAACCTTATCGCAAGTGCACCTTCTCTGAACTACCTCCAATAAAATGATATCTTAAATAAGAGGATCAAAACTGCACAAAGTACTTGAGATGTGGCCTCACCACCACCTTATACAGACTTCCCTACTCTTATGCTCAAATCCGCTTGAAGTAAGAACCAATGTTCCATTAGCCTTCATTATTATCGGCTGTATCTGTGTGCTAGCTTTATATGTTTCGTGCACAAGTAGTCCAAGTTCCTTTTGTGTTGCATCTGTCTGCAGTTTTTCTCTATTTTAATAATATTCTGTTCTTTTGTTCTCTCTTCCAAAATGAACAACATCACATTTTCCCATATTATAATCCATTTGCCAACTTATTTAACTAATATCTCTCTGCAACCACACACCAACGCCCCCCCCCCAATCCCATTTCTGTCTTTCTTTCAGTTATTCAATCCTCTGATCGTGGTACTACCTCCAACATGGGGTCTTATAAAGTAGTCTAACATGCGGTACCTTATCAAACCACTTCTGAAAATCCAAATATATTACATCCACTGCTTTCCTTTTATCAAGTCTTGTTGTTACCTCCTCAAAGAATTCTACTAAGCTTGTCAGGCATGATTTCCCCTTCATGAAGCCATGCTGACTCTGCTTGATCACATATTTTCCAAACTCTTTGCTAGTGCATCCTTTTATCATAGACTGTAACATTTTCCCAAGGACAGGTGCTAAACTAACAAGGCTGCAGTTCCTTCTTCTTTGATCTTTCGCTTTTCGAACAAGTGTTATGCCAGCAGCTTTCCATCCTCTGGCAGGTTTTCCAGAATCTAAAGATTCTTGGAAAATTACTAGCAGTGCATGCAATATTGTTATAGCTACTTCCTTTAATAGCGTGGAAGCATCCCACCAGGTCCAGAAGACCAATTAGTCTTTAGCCCCATAGCACTTCTTTTCTAGTGATAGTTATTATATTTATTTCCTCTCCCCCTTTATGCTCCTTGATTATTTAGTAATTTTAGAATGTCATTAGTGTGTTCTAATCTGAAGACTGATGCATAATGTTTGTTCAACTTCTCTGCATTTCCTTGTCCATTCTTATTCCCCCTGCCTTGATCTCTAAGCAGCCAATGTTCACTTCGGTGCTTCTCTGTGTTTTTATATATTTAATAAAGCTCTTGCTGTCCATCTTCAGTTGAGATGGAAGTGACTTGCACAACTTTTGGTACCAGTGCAGGTGAAGTAAAGCTGATGACGCATCTCTAGTAAGCGAGTAGGCAGTGCAGAGGCCATGTGGGGTTAGTAATTGGGGATTTGAGATGGGTGAGTGAGAGTAAGGGAAGATGCTGCATGCTATAGTGAGTGGCAGACCATGAGAATTGGTGGGAGTCCTGCACAGTAACAGATTTTAAGTGCATGTGAAGTAGCAGAGAAAAGTAACAGAATGTGATAGTACTTACCCTGGTAGAGCAGAAAAGGTCAGAAAAGGACTTTGATACACTGCAGGGTGTTTCTTCAGACTTTGGAAACCTTGCTGATTTGGGTGGAAACTTCAGATGAAGCTGACGGTCTGGTGTTGTGGCCTCCTTTGCTGGCCCTGGAGGAGGAGGCTAGCTGTCCTCTGCACCACCCTGTCCACCTCCAAATTCCTGTCCACAAAATGTTTGGCGTGTCGCCAACTTCTCTTCTCAATTACGTCTGGGACATGTTACTCAAAATAGGGCAGTTCTGGACTGTCTGGCTTTGTCTGGATGCACAGCTCCCATGTAACTATGATGCCAATGCCAGGAATCCCAGGATGTCCCAACAATCACAAGTACTTCTGCCAACAGTGAGTGGGAGAAAAGGACCAAGGAGAGTTATGCATGCATAGTTAATGAGGTGACTCTGGGATGATAATATGAGAAAACCTACTAGACTTTAGGGAGAAAAACCCTCGATGAAACTCGCCAAAACTGACTTTGTTGATATCCTGTAAGCTATAGCCCTAAATGCTTATACCTGACTGGAAGATTAGTTGTGCCTTTTTAACTTGAGATATCAAGATGAGGCATAAGTGGTCTGAATGTGATATGCAAAATTCAAAAATTGAGAGAAGTCAATATAACTCAGCTAGTAGTGATGAAGTTATCTCCACTTGGCTTAGTGAGTCGGAAAAAGGGATAGAAAATTAGGATTTATAGTGATGCATTTTTGAAAAGAATCCCAAACAAGCATAATGCTTTAAAATGGATTAAATAGAGAGAATGCTGGAGAAACTCAGCAGATCTGACAGCATCTGTGAAGAGAGAAACATTGTTAACATTTTGAGTCCAGTATGAGTCTTTTTCAGAACCCTTCAGAAGTATTTTGCTGTTATTATTTAGAAATGGATTCTAATTTTAGCATATTTAAGATATAGGGAGGAAGCAAAAAAGTTGTAGGATGTGATATTTACAATTTATTGAAGTGACGAGAAAGAAGTTGAGGCAAACTGCACACAATGACAATGATCAAGCTAAAAGAAATTATTGCAGAATTTGGTGAATTTGACACTGTCAATTCAATTTCTCAGAATTATAACCCACAGTATAATGTATTCAGTTAGTCACAAAGGATATCGGACACATTCTTTCTGCAATAAATCCTTCATAGGCATTATACATTTCCTTGCAAAATATTAAGTCAACAATTCAAAGTTCTTATGGTGATTGTGCTTTCCCATAGTGCTGTAAATAGATTACTATTCTGTTATAATCTGGAGAGATTCCTGCCCTTTTGTCTGTGCTGTATGACTTAAGTTTTTGAAGTTAGTTAACTAATCCTGTCCCATTTGCTGGGTAAAGTGCTGGGCTTTTCAGTTCTGTCATCTTAAATGATTTTCACTGGTCAATTTTTCCAATTTCAGCTTTGGCAGGAGAACCGACCAGACTACTTAAACATTCAGTTGTATCTCAGTCAAACAAACGGAATACAGGTAATTTAAAGTTGCTTGTATTCCAAATTGATTCCCTCATTTACACATACGTTGTTCCAATCACACTCAATGCATCAATTCACAACTTTCTCTTTAGTCAAAAAGCAATTGAAATCCTCCTCCTTTTTGTTTTAAAATCAGCTAGAATCACATGCCATTTAATATCTATATCCCGTCCATTATCTGTAACTAGAATGGATTTTCTTAAATCATTATTAGAAAGGATCAACAACAATAAATCCTAATATAAAAATTAAAATTGCTGGAGAATCTCAGAAGCCTGGCAGCATCTCTGAATAAAAAGCAGCGTTAATGTTGCAAATCCAGCGATCCATCTTCAGAACCTGCTGAATTTCTCCAGCAATTGCTGATTTTGTTTCAGATTTCCAGCATCCACAGTTCTTTGTTTTACAATAAGTCCTAATATGTTGTTTAAAAAGAAATTCAATTTTACAGTATTTAAAACACAATGAAAATAATCAAAGTAACAATCTGTTGACACTGAGAAAAGCAATAAGCAAAAGTGTCCAAGGAGATGATAAACCTTTTTGTCATTAAGATTAAAAAATTAAGAGTTGTCACGTAAGAACCATGCAAGAGTAGGAAATTTGACTCCTCCAACTTGCTTTTCTATTCAGTAAGATCATGACTGATCAATATGGCCCTAATTCTCCCTTGTCAATCAAAAATCCATTTGAATCAGCTTTGAATATGTTCAATGATTCATCTTCAGTGTTTACTGAGGGACAGAATTCAACAGAGAAGTAACTCTCAGAAGAAATATGTTGTTGTTTCTAGCTTAAATATTGAAATATCTTTTTTTAATTTAAAAAATATCAGTTGAGAGGGATGTGATTGGTGATTGGATTAGAATAATGTGCTTTTGTTGCTGGAATGGACATAAATTCAGACTTGGCTAATAAAAGTACTCCTCTCTGGTGACTAATCCAATCCCTAAAAGATGAGGGCCTATTGCACCAATGTCCCAGAGTTCAGCAGTAAGTAAATGGTTTCACTTAAGAAACTATAATGGTAATCAACGTGAACACGAACAATGAAATTCATGCATAAGTGCCTTTCTCAGAATAAAGATAAGTCTGTGATTGTTAGAAATCTGAAATAAAGCAAGAAAATGATAGCTTGTACAAGAAGCCTGACAGCATCAGAAAGAGAAAGTCAAGTTAACTTTGGAGCGATCACCCTTTTTTGACACTCAAGGTATGAACTGCATCTTATCGCTTCTCTGTAAGTGTCCTGAGAAGGTGCTGATGGGTAAATATTTAGGATCAGACTCTTCAACAGAATTGATTTTTAGTCTACCCGTAAACATTCACCTATCTTTTCTCTTTGAGATACTGACTCATCGAATGCGCGTTTCCATCATATAGTGTTTTGAGTTTTCTCCTATACTATAAAGAAATGCTGGAGTAGAAATGGGCCATCTATGTCCTAAAGTCCATTGATCAGATTATGCTAATCCATAACTCAATTTCTCAACATCTTCCATATTAAGCTCCCTCACAATCTCGTATGTTTCAACTCTAATGAATAAAGGCCTAACCTGTTTAGCTGTTCTCGATAAGCCAATCACTTCATCACAGGAAGAATCTCTTTTATATAGTCTCTTTTGAACTTGGACATCTTTTTTACATTTAGGAACAGAAGTATTTGTTACTCTAGATTCAGGCTTACCAATAACCTGTACAATAGTGATAAGATTTTTAAACTCCAACCCCACAGCAATGAAAACCAAATGTATATTTCCTTTCTTAACTCCTTGATGCACCTGCATACTTACTCGTTTCTGTTTACATTGTTTTGGTTTTCTCCTGTAGAATTTAAATGGAGAAAAATATCAAGCTCTGAATTCGAGGCTTATTATTGGAAAACCTCGTTTGAAACTTCTGTTTGGAGAAATAGCCAAGTGCAATAGACAGTGAGTAAATGTTTAGTTTCTAATGTTGCAAGAAATTGAAAACAGAAAAGTGGGCTTTGTGTCACTGTGTTACTATGAGCACTGTCACAGACCTCATGGTATTACTTATAGTCAGATGCTCGCTTCAATCTTGAACAAAGTCAAGTACATAGTAATGGGAACACTAAGATAATTACATTTAGTCTTTGACATGGAAACATTTTCTGTGATCCCTGGAAGCTGTTCGTGAGCTGGATTTTACAATGGCAAAACATGATGCTGAATAAGACTAATAAAGATTCAGGCTTGATGTTTGCTCTCCCATCAGGTGGGGAGAATAGGGAGAAGCCCCAGTTTCATGAACCTGACTAGCAAAAAAGTAGCCCTGATCTTTGAGTTTCAGTTGGATGGGGAATGATGAGATAAAATGAGAATTAGAGTAGATGACCCAGAAACAGTGACAGGCCCAGTGTGAGTTCAGCACTCAACTGGCTACGAAAAGCAACCTACAGAAAGGTAGGAATTAAATGGTTATATGTCTGTGCTATGGAGATGATATAACCAAGCAATATAACTTGGTGAGTGTAAACTGTGTGAATGTTGTCGCAGAGTTGTCTAGTTACTGACTTGGAACCCTTTTGGTCAAACTGATGCACTTGGTAACATCCTGTACCTGATCAAAGCCAACTAATTGTGCAAAAGCTATGCCTCTGTATAGTATCAAATGAACTGTGAAGTTAACATACTGCCCAAATGAGCAAACGTGGCATTGGTTACTGTCTTGATATTCCAGATAATTTTCCCCTTGAGCCTTGTAAAAAGCCAAAGTTTAGGGCTTGGCAACCTTTACATGTATTGACATGACAATGGAGTGAGTAGAGTATTGACCGTGCTATTACTGGGCCAACCAACTTATGTCAGTGACCATTTAACAGCTTAATCTTGTTACTGGTTATAATGAGCTATGATCTCCAAGATCAGTACAGCCTTGCCACAGAAGAATATCTAATTAATCTTCTTTACCTACAACTCTTTTTTTCTTGGTGTGTTACTTCTGTTTTCTGGCTAGGGTCCCCCTATAATAGCCTCTGATTGGTCACATCCATTTTGTCTCTTACTCAGCACAGCAAAATGCACCCTTCCTGCCATCTGGGTGCTTGAGTTAGTAGAACAATAATGCTCAGCCATGTCTAGTAGCTTCACCCTTCCTACTTCCTTAGGTTAAAGCCAGAGACTTGCTAATGAATTTTTTGCAATTTCTGCAGCAGTTATAGTAACTTTTGAGCAATTTTCAAGGGGCCTCTGCACTTTCCCCAAAGAGTAGCCTACATAATCAGACAATTTGGCAAAGGTTAGACCTGCTTCTACCAGATCTAGTTTGTACATATTGTGTTTCCCACTCCTAGTTGTCAAAAATCAGACATTACTGAAGACAGCTGTTGTTTATGTGCAAAACTTGAATGTGCAAAGCTTGACCTGCTTCATCCCCACATGTTCATCAAGTCTCCACTACTCTGAAGAGCATCCCACCTAGACCCACCTCACCCCATAACCCCACAGAGGTTGTACCCCATGGCTACCTATCTTGCACATCACTGGACACTACGGAAAAATTTAGCGTGGTCCATCTAACTAACCTGAACATCTTTGGACTGTGGGAGGAAACTGGAGCACCCAGAGGAAACCCACATAGATAGAGGGAGAACATGCAAACTGCACAAAGACAGTTACCCAGGGCTGGAATTGAATCGGGGTTCTTGGTGCTGTGAGACAGCAGCACTAACCACTCTTTCACTGTGCCATTAAGCTGTAACCTGACCACTGTAGAATTTGGTCATTGCTTTGTCTTGCACCTTTTTGGATGTGTAGTTTAGTGTTCTATTGGCTATTTTTATTGCTGTTGGCTCTTGGCTGAACCTGTTTATTATACGTTCGCTACAACTTCTATGTTACTTCGAATTGTATCTTTAGCTACTTCAACAGTAGCCATGAAATATGTATCTAAGCAGATTTTCCTTTCCATATACAAAGCATCATCTTTGTTAAATTTATTCTGTTACTGTTCGTCCCAAACATTTCTTTTAGTTTGTTCTATAGTTCTGGGCTGCACATTCATTTTTTTCCTCTAAATTTAATATCAACTAATATACATTGAGTTGCAAAGTTCAGGTTATTACAAGCAAGAGATTGTAGTGGTCACAGTCAGAATCCTGGGCAACTCCACTCTGTATTTGTCCATTACTCTACCACTCATGCACCCATTTATTTTCTATCTATCAACTAGTCTCTTATGCCATAATCATGTTTTGTCTGAAGGCATTGACCTTAAAGTTCCACATGAAATGCCATTAATTATCTAGTGCTTTTTAGAAGTTGAAATACAGATCATCGTAAGGTTGACCAGCTGATTCGGGTTGTTTCTTCTGCAAAGTAATCAAAGAAGTTGGCCAAACAGGGCCTTTTTGTTCTAAAACTTCATTGACTACTATTCATGCCTACCTTGATTGCTTTGGCTGATGTGTAGAAAATCCTCAAGTTTGCTTACAATTCATTACACTAAGGTTCTTGAATAGATTTGTAGCTCGGGTTGTGGATGCTGTGGCTGGTTCACTCCACTATGAATCCAATATGTGGATGACACTTTCGTCATTATCAAATGGACCAAACTAGAGGAGACACACCAACTAATAAACAACATTCTCACTGGCATCAAATTCACCAGGGAAGAGGAAAAGAACAAACAGCTCCCATTCCTGGACGTCATGGTAGAACGCAGCGACAACCGGGAATTCCTGACGAAGGTACACAGAAAGGCCACACACACTGACCAAGTACTGAATTTCCACAGTAACCACCCCAACACCCACAAACAAAGTTGCATGAAAACACTATTTAAATGAGCGACAAGACACTGTAGCAACTTGGAACTACATCAAAAAGAAGAGGAGTACCTCCACCAAGTATTTAAGGACTACGGATACCTGAACAACTGGATCCAACGATGCCTATCACACAAACAACAACGGAAGGTACTACACGCCCTAACACACTCATCATGCTACTATACATCAAGAACATATCCGGACTGACCACAAGACTCCTACGACCATTGGGTATCAGAGGAGTACACAAACCACGTCAACCCTACGCCAACTGCAAACTCGAACCAAAGACCCCTTATCCAATATGAACAGAACCAACATAATATACAAAATTCCATGCAAGGACTGCGACAAACATTACACTGTACAGACAGGAAGAAAATTGGCCACAAGAGCACATGAACACCAATTAGCAACAAAAAGACACGACCAATACTCACTCATCTCTATTCACATGGATAAGGAGAACCACTAGTTTGATTGGGACAACACCAGGATCCTCAGACAGACCAAACAGAGGGAAGCACGGGAATTCCTAGAGGCCTGGTTCTCCACCAAGAAGGCCATCAACAAACACATAGAACTAGATCCTATATAAACTCCACTGTGAAGGAAAACCGGAAATGAGATAACCAAATTGAACAGACGCCAAAGTTTAAATACCAGGTAGGAAAACGCAACGGCACTTCATTGGAGGCTGCACTAATGATGTTACCCAACAGTGTAATGAAACATCTGTGAACCAGCTCAGCGAGCAAACCAACCACGGAATTCATTACACTATTTTTCATGGAATTGTTGTACACTTGACGGGGTTGTCCTTGCTCATTTCTTATTTGTAAATGTCCTTTTGAAAATGGACATCATGATGACCTATTTCAATATTCTAGTACCTTCTGCAGCATTGTCATAACAGTTATTAATGGCTTAAAAAAAAGTCTATCTTTTGGATTTTATTTGTATTTAAAGCTCTCTGTTCATCTAGAGTGTCATGTAATTTATATTAAACGTTTGAATTATGTCATTGTACTTTTTGTTTTTGGAGTCTGTAATTGGCCTTGTAGAAGATCACCCTAATTTTTATTCCTGAACTAATTCTGAATTCTGTTGACAGTTTTAAAAGTTCTTAATGGGTTTTTAGCTGCGTTCATCATATTTTTCTTCATGCCCTGAACCAACTGCACAAAGGCCAGTATCCTGTCACCAAGTTACCCTTTATTTACATGTACATAGTACATGGACTCTGACCAGCCAGCTCAGAGCCAGTCCGTAGACTGAGGAAACCTTCTGACACTCCTGTTTGTATCTGTCAGCCTGGGCTCCCTGATGGGTCCTAGTTAACAACCCCAATCAAAGATATCAAAGTCAATGACATCCAACTGGCCCTCGCTCCAATCACCACATTTCCCCACTCTCTTCCCCCAAGTACAGGAATATAGGCCTGTTCTTTTTTTTGTCGCTTCTCCTGGGACATTTTTGCCCCAGGTATGGTTCCTCTGATCTTTACTCAGACATGGGTGGCACGGTGGCTCAGTGGTTAGCACTGCTGCCTTACAGCACCAGGGACCTGGGTTCGATTCCACCCTTGAGCGACTGTCTGTGTGGAATTTGCACATTCTGCCCGTGTCTGCATGGGTTTCCTCCGAGTACTCTGATTTCCTTTCACAGTCCAAAGATGTGCAGGCTAGGTGGATTGGCCATGCTAAGTTGCCCCTAGTGTTCAGGGATGTGTAGATTAGGTGGTTTATAGGGGGGTGGGCCTGGGTGCGATACTCGGAGGGTCAGTGTGGACTTGGGCCCATGAAGGGCCTGTTTCCACACTGTAGGGATTCTATGAAATTATGTGAAATTACTGGACCATAGCCTGTCTCTTGTGCCCAGAGCATTTGGGGAGAGTTTCCACCTGTTCAAGTGGTAATAGTATCAAGGGTGCATTCATCTTGGACTCGTGAGGTTTCTTCGACACTAGACAAAGGAGTTGAACCCATGGTTTCTTTGTGGCTGTTCTGAGGGGACAGGTATGTTTTGCTCCTTCTCTGTTTGCAGGATAGCAACTTTCAGGTGATCCACATGTTTGTTTGGACAGGTAGGGCAGTCCTGAACTTTGTATGTCACGGGACCTGACCTTACATCAAACTTGCCTCATACCCATGCAGGGCCATTTCATGGCTTCAACACCAAACTTCATCCCCTGAAGTAAACTGCCTCTCTCGCTTAAAGGAGGCATATAGCCAGCGTTGGCGTTCTTCTGCTATTTCACCCTCTCCTCCAACCCAGGCCTGAGAATATCAGGTTTAGCCTGTTGCAGAAAATTCTCCCCATCAACAACTCTACTGGAGCTATGCCTGTGGTTGCAGAACAGGTGATCCTATAACCAAACAGGAACAGGGACAGTTTGGTATCAAGTGATACGTAATTGACTCATTAAAGATCACCCTAATTGTTTTTCCTAAACTGTTTCTGAATTCAGTATCAAGCTGTTTTATTTAGCCAGCCATCAACATTTGGACTAGTGTGGATCTGTCCGAATGTGTTGAATGCCATTTGTCTTTAGAAAATACTCACAACCCTGCTGGTAAATGACGTTCCACTGCAAACGATGCTCACAGCTTTTCAGTCGTCATCCCTGAGTTTGCCGAATGAACTCTATGCATGTCCAACCACTTTGAATGGGCATCCACAATGATAGAACATTGAGCCCAAGAAAGGACTGGCATACTCGACGTGTAACCAAGTCCACTGTTTACCCAGCCATTCCCATGAATTTGGAGGTATCTTTTGTCCTAGTTGGCACTCTGGGCACTGCCCTACCAACACAGCTATGTTGGCATCCAGTCCTGGCCACCAGACATACCTTTTGCCAGCATCTTCATCTTGTAAACCCCTGGATGACCCTGATGGAGTTCAACCAGTTTCTGGTGGCGACCTTTACTCGGATCAATCACTCTTGCTCCCCATAATAATATGCTGTCCTCTACAGTGATTTGCTCTTGCTGGGTCCAGAAAGGTTTCAATTCTGGTTGTGATGGCCCTTTTATTTCACCCATCACTTGTAATTGTACACATTTTCTAAGGACAGTGCCTGTTTGAAGTCCAATTGGACTTCAGCTAGAGGGCACTTTTGCATGGTTACATAAATAATCCCACATACCAAATGGTCTCTCAGCATCTCATTCACGGTTATCCCAAAATCGCATGCTTCTGCTAGTCAACTTAATCTCGCCAAAAATCCTTATACAGATTCTCCAGGTTTTCGAACTGCCAAATAAAACCAATAGCATCTCAAAATCAGAGGAGGCTTGGGGTTGTAATATTCCTTAACTAAATCCATCAACTCTTGAAAGGTTTTATTATCTGGTGCCGCAGATAAAGTTAGGCTCCTAATAACCAAAAATGCTGCAAGTGCGCTAGCAGTCTGAAAGTTTAATGGATGCTTTTCATCTACTTCATGTCACTTGCCCAAAAAAAAAACGCATTCTTTTCACATACTGGGCCCAGTATTCGACAGCAGGATTGAATGAGTCAAGCTTTCCAAGTGAAGGCATGATGCCAGAAATGCTTACCACAATTCAAAGATAACTGTTGCAAGCAAATTTTCTTCAGGAGTATACTATTTTCACTCATCGCCACTGAAATAACTGCACAGATGCTGGTATTCCGTCACTGAATCAACCTCTATTTACATGTACACAGCACATGAGTTCTGACCAGCCAACTCAGAGCCAGTTTCTAGAATGAGGAGACTGCCTGAATCTTCTGTTTATATTTGTCAGCCAGGGCTCCTTGATTGGCCCAGGTTAACTACCCCAATCAAGGGTCTCATAATCAATGAGATCCACCTGGCCCTTATTCTAATCAGTATGCCCAAATATTGATTCTCTAAGAGACAGATACCTCAAAAAAGCCGTTACTGAAATGTGTTGTATCTGGAATTGAGGTGGGATTGTGCGTTACTGGGTAACCAGCATTACCACTGATAAAGCTAGATGCAATTATTCTGAGAGGAGTTGTTCACAATTTATAGTAAAAGCATAGGCCTGAAATTTAGTCCACAAAATATTTGTTTTAGCACAATTCTTTGAAATGTTTCTTTCTGCTATTTTATCAGAGGCATTAACCAGTTTTAAAGTAAATAAACTTTCACAGATGAATGCATAAAGAAGCTGTTTGTTTATTTTCATGATTATTTTAATATTTGGGGGTACATTTTATCCTTTACTGCTGGGCAGAAAAATGGCAGGAGCAGAACTGTCATCAGTGAACAGTGGAAAAGGGGATAAATGTATATTTTGAAATAATGTTTCAAAGATTTGCTTCCATCATAGCTGGCAGATTATTGCTTGACTTGAGCTAATAAGATACAGCAAAATGTTACAAAAATACATCTTCTACTAATTTGCACCTATTGATATTATTATCCAGCTAAAGTATTGTACTAGTTTGAGAAATCATTCTAAATGTCACATGCTTTTTTTCTCCTTTTCTGACAGAAAATGTGTTGGTGTTTTTTGCTGCGGGCCTAACAAGCTCTCCAAGGAACTGCACAAGCTTAGCAATAAAACCAGTTCACACGGAACAAAATTTGAGTACAACAAAGAATCGTTCTCATGAAGATCAATAAGGAAGAGAAAATTAGCTATGAAAACGTGAAGTGCAATTATTAACTGATAATTAGCAGGATGTGCCTTATACAATCCCTTGTCACCAAAGAATGAACATATTGAATCAATGCCAATTCAGTAGTTGGTGTGGCAGAGGTACCAGTTTATGTATGGGGTTTGTCAATGTCAGTTTATCAATTGGTATTTTTCCAATATCAGTGAGTGAATACCAGCTATTTTATTTCTATTAGAACAATTTAATGGAAGGTTTGAAGTGTTGTTGCAGTTTTCATAAATCTATTTCTCATAAAAGAATTTACATGTAGCAGCAGAACTCAATTCTGACATATGGTGATGGGAAAATTGGATGTTGTACTCTGAAATGTCAAAACAGTCCATGCTTCTGTGTAACAATTATTTCCCCATACTATCTTAATTAGTGTAGTTTGCTGTAACTGGCTGAGAAGGAAAGTGCCTTTATATCATTTATACTTCCAAGAACTGGATATTAAAGCGTATTTATTGTATTAATAAGGTGGCTGGAAGTAAAGATTTCTTTTTCTCAAAATCTATGACATGACCATGATAATACACTTGTAAATGTGGTACTGATTAAGTGTCACTGGATTTTAAACATTGACTCTGCTTTCTCCCCACAGATGTTGCCTCATTTTTGTTTCAGATCTCCAGCATCTGCCTTTTTTTTTATATAATGCAAATTTGGTTTGTTGCAATCAGACCGGGTAGATTCCAATATTACTGAATCCTATCTATACAAATTGTGCTTCCTGAAGAATAATCAGAAGGCTGGTGATTTAAGAGACTGAGCCAGTGATAAATTTTGAATAACAGTTGTTCTCTTAATTTACTACATCAGACCCAACAGCTTTGTACTACAATTTTATCAACAAAAATTTTTGGAAGCGTTATGAATATGCAGAAGCAGTGATCATATTGTAGTGCATCACTTTAATGCACTAACATCCTGTGCCAGACAGTGTTAAATTATAGATTGTTCCAGAAGATTTATATCTAAGCTGTCTGTCATACGTAGAGAAGCAAAAATCTTAAAATGTAAAGAGAAAGACAGCCTGACCTGCTGCTGCGCAAATCCTGTTCGCTGGTTTACTGACAGTTTTTGGCAGAGATCTTGAAATGGGTTTTCTAAATAGTCTTTTTGTAGAGGTCTGATATTAGGAGACCTAAGGAAAAGAGTAATGAAGAAGCAAATTCAAACAAAAATTCAGAAGAGGAAGAATTAACGTGTTAACTATGGAAAAAAATCTTTGTCAACAAATTTCTAACCATTCAATGCCAGAAAGTGTCATCTCACTTTTTTCAATTTAATTTTTTAACTCCTTCAGCTTTCATCATTGTACAACCAAAACTGAGTATTCAGCTTGCTTGTTTCAACACTAAATTCACAGGGGACTGTCCTTAACATTTGTGCTGAGCTAAAGTGTCTATGTGGCGTATAACACGTACAATGATCTGATTGGTAGGACAAACACTTCACAACCTGCATTCTTTCTACTAACTAATTTAGATCCTTACAACAATATCTATCCTGAACACAGTTCTGGAAGGAATTTTTTTGTACAGCTACAGAGATTACTACTTCCTCACCTTCTGAGAATTGGATGAAGTTAAATAAATCCAATTTCTCTCTGATGGAAACCATGTTGTGTTATAATTTTTATTTTATCAACAAAACACCAGTCAGTTCATAGCTGAAGCCCAGTAGGGAATTTAGTTGGTAGATTGTTTACAATTTCTCACATCTGTCAAGTGTAAAATAAAGATGAATCCAACACCAAAAAGTTAACATTTTGGCTTTCTAACCAGATTTTGCCACATTAAGTAGTTTTGGCTACAAAGCATGATATCGAATCATCCTAATAATAATTACCATCGTCCATTTTTATATTGCTAGTCCTTTTTGAATTATTCAGAAGTCAATGGCAAAGAGTTTTTGGGAGCCAAATTTTAGTAATATCCATGTATAATTTTAAATTAAAACATTTAATTAGCCTTTACAATAATCCAAAACTACATGATTAATTAACATTGGTTGCGAAAAGTGACCAAAACGTTTCCTATGACTAGATAGAGAATCTCACTCTGTGAGCAGTTCTTTGTATATCACAACATATAGTCACAATGGTGTAGATCAGATCTTTTCTGGATTTTCCTATTAAGATTTTTATCCGACTTAGCAATATTGATAGTAAAAAAGTATTTTTCTACATTAGACCTTGTATACATTCCACTTCCACACCAATTTTGTGTAATATTTATGTTTTTAGTCACCTGGCGTTATTTCAGATCTGCATGTTATTCTGTGAGTAAAATGAGTAGACAGTAAGTATTGTAATGAACCACAATTCTTTAAGCGTTGAAGGTAATTGGGCAGAACTAACATTTGTTAGTATATCTTTCAATGATAGTTGATTAGTTGTTGCACATGTATTGATTTGTACTCTCTCCCTGAGTAATAGTTATTAAAGTGTTAACATATGAAGTACATCCTTATAATTTCAGGGCAGGAGGCAACATGGCCAATACATAGCTATGGATGTTAAACTTCAGTGAAAGTTGTAAAAAATAAGCATGAACATAAGACTTCCAGGGATATTAGAATGATAGAATAGAGTGCAGATCTGCCCAAAAGGGAAATATAAAGGAATAAATTGAGAACGACTGAATGACAATGAACAAATACGTGGCAAAGTCCCTGAAAGAAATACTTGGCAATAGATGCTTTTTCATTTTGGCATCACCTTGTCAACTGCTTTCTGGATCTTACATGTTTTCTTAACCTTTAATTCTACTAAACTTCAATAGTTTCAGGCTCAACTGTATCCAATCTTTCCGCATAACACATTAATTCCAAGGAATAGTCAAGTGAACATATATAGTCTGTAGAACTCTGTCAAAACTTATATATTCAATTCCCCTTGCAATAAATGCCAATATTTCATTTGCCTTCCTAACCTCATGCTGTGCCTACTTACTAACATTTTTACAGCTCATGCAAAGGACATTCAGATCACTTTATATCTTCAGGTACAATTTCTGCCTATTTAAATAATACACTGCTTTTGTATTCTTCCTAGTAAAGTGGGCAAGTTCATATCTTCCCACATTATTCTCCATCTACCAGATTTTTGTCCATTTATTTAATCTACTGATATCCCTTGCTAGACTCCTTTTGATTGATATACAACTTCAATTCTAAATCACATTGAAAATGTCTCTTTGGTTAGCACTCAGAATATGTGTAGAATTATGTAAAATGACATTCTTAGCTTTTTTATGGTCCAAAATGTTTAGGGAGAGGAATAGAATCATGTTGAAACTTCTCAGGGACAACTTCGATAGAGTGTGGATTATAGCTTTCTTATTTACAATATTGCTTAAGGTGACTCAACCCACTATCCATTCTATATAAAGTACAGAAAAGTTTGATGTTCCGTATGTAATAAAGTGCAACCTTTCTGTATTTGTTTATTTAATTGAATTTTATTTTCATGTTTTCCTTCAATCAAAAAAAATCACATTTACTTTAAATTTAGTTTTGTTTTTATAGGGTCCAGCTGTGAAAGATTGCATTAGGTAGCAAATTGAAACATTAAGGTGTGTTGGAACATTACCATCTACTGGAGTATTAGCACCATTACAATGGAAACAGAGGGCTAAGTTTTCTGGTGCATCATGTCTTGTAGCAACTTTTCTCAGAATCTTCTGCTCTTCATCTCATTCATAATGTAGCTGGGCTTGTTTCACAATTCTGATGCCAATGCATGGCAAGGAAGTCAGTAATGCTCAACATAGCGAGGACCTACCAGCCTTCTTGCTGCAGGGTTAGGGTTCACCCCCAGGATTATCCTCACTGATAATAACTGTATCCTTACTGATAATTGGGCAATTACCTCACTGTGGAGGGGCAGTTCCTGCATTGCAGTATTCGGTAACCCCAACCTTATTGCACTTGCATGCCACTTCAGAAGTGTATTCCAGGAACTGCCCCTCGTCAGTAAGATAATTGCCCAATTATCAGTGAGGACATGGCCCAGAAAGCAAAGCTTGCACTCACCTTTGTTGATTGGGACATGGAGGTGCTGGTGGATGGGGTAGTGGAGAGAAGAGCAATCCTTTTTCCTGCTGACTGCCAAAGGAGGTCAACCCAACAACCTGTAGCCTAATAGCAGCTTGGGTTAAGTGCGGGAAGAGGTTAAAGATCTTTTGTGCTCCACAAGTGTAAGTGCTGCTATCTTCTTTCTGCTATCTCTCTTACAGGGCTCCCATTTACTCTAACTCTGCTACTGCATACTTTTTCCACCAAAGTTCATGGGCTATGACTCCTCAGTATTGCATACATTATGTTTATGCAATAACCCTAAACCACCTTATCCTTCCAAACTCCTTCTGCCCTTTGCACTTCCTATTCCTTAACTGGGGACTCACTACCTCTTCTACTCCTGCATCACTCTTCATCGCTCTTGCATCAACTTGCAACATACTTAATCATTCTTTTTGTCTCATCACAGGAAAAACTGGCCCAACAGCCAGACTGATATGTCCCCATCACCACCCAACTGACTTAGCTGTAATCCCTGGACTGGCACTTGATCTGCAGGATTGACTGTTGCCCAATCCATGAACTGAAAGTATACAAATCCCAGAACTCTAGATGGACCAAGCATCTGACTAACCATGCCAATATCCTAGATTAGAATCAGATGAGCCCCCAAACTGACTGTAAACCCCCTTGACCCCACAAGGGTTGCTCCTGTTTGTGCAATTTTATTGCTATCTAACCTGCTGGCACATGCTACTGATGTGATGTTGACATAGCCCAGTGTTGTACAGTGACATGTCCAGACCCTTGACTATTCAGTGCTTACTACCATGACAAGCTTCCCATTTTTTTCCTTTGTACTAAAAATCAATGCAAGATACAAAAGCTGGCAGGCTCCAAGTAAGTGTAAAGTGAGCGAGCAATATAAAAGTTAGCTAAGAATCATAAAATTCACTCCATGTAGATTCATTTGATGTATGTGTTTGCATGCAAAGTTGACCTGGAAGAAGCATACAAGTCATAGATTTCCCTGAGCTCCAAAGTAAGATATTGAAGAACTTAAATGGTTGTATGTGTTGCTGTGAGATGTGATGAGGCTGGTGGTTTGCTGCTGGTAACTTCTGTGAACCAAGGATTGAGGAGAATGATAGCTCCAGAGCATGGAGGGACATTGTGATGAAGACACAATTAGATGCTGGTCAAGTCAAGCAATCAATGAGTTGCAACTGCCAGATACCCACTCTGACTTGCCTGTTGGGAATTTGTTCTATCTAGTTTCTCAGGAAGGAGAGGAGATTGGAGGTGTTGTATAAACATAGGGAGTTGAGGCTGGATGAAGGCCCAGAGAAACAAGCAGTAAGCTGTGACACCGGGTAACAGCTCTGATTTTCATGTTGGAAATTGGTGCCATTTACTTTCAGGGTAAGAAGTGGGGAATGGGAAGCTGTGT